AGTCACTTTGGAGACGATGGAGAGTAAGGAGAAACCCGAGTGGTGGGTAGAAGATGATGGAGCAGTAGCATCAACAGGAGTAGACATCTATACATAAAAAGAAGAACAATTTTAGTTAGATGACAATTATCCTTAATGTTTTAACCCATAATAAATGATTAAGGCTAGGATCCAAAATAAAATTTCACAACTAAGAAGAGGGGTGTCGTAATCTTATTGCAAAGTTATGAAGGTAGGTGTAAAAGCAATTCACCAATTTCGAACTATGAAATTCCTAGATCTTTTAAGATTCATTGAATCTATCAATGACATGTTTAATCTCAGATTATGTTCTTCTATTTGTGACTGAGATACCAAGGATTACAAACAATATGTGAATAATCATACAAATTAGCTTGACACTCTCATTGTCATTTATCATCTCATTTTAATATGTCGGTTAATCACACATGCTCGATTACTCAACGATAATTTTCAAGATTCCCATTATTGCTCTTTATAGTCACTATTAGTGTGCCGGTTAACCACACGTGCTCCACTAAATACTATAAAGTATAATGTGTACTTCTATGGATTAACATACTTTTCACATTTTCCTAAAATAACTAAGAGTGAGATTTTCGAGATGCCCATTCATGAATTATAAATCTGGTTATGTTTGGAAGTTAAGTCTTACGTTTCGACTTTGTATTTTTTGTTTGGTTTGGAACTTTTTATTTTTTGTGTGATTTGAACTTCATATTTCATGTTGGATTTTTTTTATATATATATTTAAAACTTCAAATTATATATATGAAACATTGACATCTGGATTTTATTTGTAACATTAATAATTGGTTTTTAGGTTTTCCAAACCGAACCAATAGGTTTGGTGCGACTGTTTGTTCGATTTAAAAAAATAAAAGTAAATTGAAGAAACCTCAAAACACATATTTAGTTGGATTTTGGCCAAAACAAATTTAGTATTGATTTGTTCATTGTCGGATTAAAGTAACCATATGCACACCTTTTTTGATTTATTTGTTAACAAACTTGACGAGCGGTGGAATCATTGGTGATAATTGTTTGGAGTAGATGTTGAGTTAATACCGTAAAGCCTTGTTTGACCATGGAGTCAACCTTGCACCATTCCAAATTGTTGGGTTTGCTGGAAGACCCATAGAGATGATGTAAACTAAATAACCAACACAATGGATATGGAAGAGCTCGCACCATGAATCGTAACTGAGACGATTCAAATCCAAGATTAGAGGGATGTATCATTTGATATTAGTAACACCATAAATCTTATTGGTAGGAGTGGAGGTTGTCTTGAAAGAAGAAGTAAAGCAGTAAAGGAAAAAAGTAAGAGGAAGATTAGAAGAGATCGATAGGTGAAGAAGTCGTCGATAAAATAAAGAGGGGGAGGGTAGGATCGACCAAGGTTTTAAAAAAATGTGATACCATGTTAACAAATGATTTTCCTATAAGTGACTATTTACATTCCAATATTATATAATTACTAGGGGTGTCAATTTATAACTCGACATGACCAAAATTCACGATACGAAATGAAATTAGGACAAAATCGAAATTCGAGTTAGCATCGTGTTAGTGTCAAATGTAAAAAACATGATGTCATGTCGTGTTGATGTTAAAATTTTGACACGAAATTGATGCGATTTAATATAATTTTCTGTGTTTGTCACGTTATATATGATTAAGTATTAATTAAAAAAAATATTATGTTATCTTTGACTTGTCGTGTTTTAATCCATTTGTTTCCGTGTTAATGAAAATAAACATGTGTTATATAAAACTTTGTTGTTTCGTGTTGCGTTAGGGAAAAAAAAAAAAACAGATATGTATCCTGATTTGACATCCCTAATAATTACAACTAATGTTAAGAGCCAAAATGCATGTGGGCTAACTAAGTCCCCGTTTGTTTGCATCTTAATACCACTTACTAATGGGTAGATCTGAATTTGTAAGATTCAGTTTGTTTGTTTACCTCTTATTTTGTGGTTTTAATCTGCATTTTACCACTTACTGAATCAGACTTGGAAGCCCATCTGAAAAGAAAAAAAAAAGACGCCATAACCCTTTCTCTATCTGCTTGCTTCTCTCGCTTCCATCCTCTCGTTGATACTCTCGCCACTGAAGACCTTCCTTCCCTCATCCTCCGCCGCCATTGCCGCCCTCCCCAACGCCATCTTCTGCCGTCACAACCCTCACCGTCGCCGACTCCAGCAACATCGACATCAAGTTCGTTCTTTTTTCTTCTCTTTTATCCTTTTTTTTTCTCGTTTTTTTTGACGTTGTTTCAAATCATATTCTTCAAGTGTAGAAGATGCTCCGTGTTGTCTAAAATATGATCAACAAAGGAAGAAAACGAAGGGAAGGGGGTCTCCGGTCTTTGGCCGGTCACGAAGGGCAAACGAAGGCAGACCAAAAAGAAGTCTTTGATTGGGCAAGGTAAGTAGCGACTAGCTTCATTTTTTTTGTTTGTTTTGACATAAATCAAAAGAGGGCATGTAATGTTTGGTTTTGATGTGTTCATCGTGAACATGTGGTCATGGGCTGTTCCAACAGCCTCTAGTTGTTCTTACCTCGACAAGAAAGAAGAAGAACAAATGGTGTTTTGCTTGGGCTGTTACCTCTTGTGAATGAATGAGTTCCAATGGCTGATCATTTAACCTTCTAAAATGATGTACTTCTAGATGATTTTCAAAGCAATGTATTGATTTAATTGTATAATATCTGAGTAGATTTTAACATGATTTGGATGGTACTATGAGCTAAGGTTGAAAACAAACGCAATGATTTTAATCAAATATTCTAAAATTATGTTGATTTCTGAAATAGATGGGTTGATTTCTAAAATATGATGTGATGATGTGATGATTTGTTGTTATGTGCTAAAATATATTGCTGATTTCTAGTTCATTTGCTTAAATATGTTGCTGATTTCTAGTTCATTTGTTGAAATATGTTGCTGATCTTTGATTTGTGTTGACTTGTGATGTTTATGTGATGATTTGTGTTGTTATGTGCTAATTTGTGATGATTTGTGTTGTTTATGTGCTAATTTTTGATGTTATGTGTTAATTTTTGATGTTATGTGCTAATTTTTTATTTATGTTTAATTTGGATTCTATATGGTTTTTATATTTTTTTTATTCTTCAAGAAGTTCATTCATTTATTTTATAAATAAAAACATTTAATTCAATAAAAAGATAATATATAAAAGTAAAATGATCATTTTTATCATTCAGATCTGTAATTTAGAGGATCCAATAAAACAACTTTTAAAATTCAGATTTTAAATATTCAAACCCTCTTAGAAATTCAGACCTCTTAATTTTTCAGATCTTAAGAATTTAGATATTATCAAACAGCCCCTAAGTTACACTAAAATACAATCTACCTCTTCTAATAAATGAAACTTAAAAATGACACGTGTTAGTTTTTAGAATGTCTCTTTGACATGTGATATTTTTTAATGATTTTTATTATTATTATTATTTTTTTAACAAATCAAATTCAATTCAAATTTTGAAAATATAAAATTATATTTTAATAACATTATTATGTTATTTTGCTTAACAAATTAATTTATAATTATTTACAATTGACAATATCTTTGTTTTCTTTTTCATTTATTATTTTTTTATCTATATAAAAATTTTAAATATACTGATCGTGATTTCCATACAAATATATAAAACCCAATACAGAAAACAGAAATATACGGCTAATATCGGGTGTTAATTGGTTGGTTTATGGTTTATTTGGTTTGTCGTTTTTTTTTTTTTTTTTTTTTTTAATTTCAAAACTAACCCGAACAAAATCAAAACTCTATTTCTTTCAAGTATGTATGAAACAATAGGAAGCACTAATTGTATTTTTTCTTATTCATGCAAACACTTTTTTTTCTCAAACAGTTAAGTCATTTCCTAAGACGGCTCCTCTTATTCTTTCTACGATAATCCAAACTGCAGCTCCACTTTTGTCTTGTCTTTCAAAATTGCTATAAATCAATAAGACAATAACCAATAACCAAGAACTATCCTAATTGGCCCAATTTGAGAATGGCCCAATTTGGTCATTATACATGAAGAAAGGACTTTTGGGTTCTAAATTCTAATAAAGTTAAAGCCCATCACGACAAAGTATATAGGAACGTTTCTAAATTTTTTAAAAATATAAATATATAATAATAATATATTTTTATATGGGTTATTTGCGTATACTCGAAATTTTGAATATTAAACCGTAATCGAATTGAATAAGGAATCTCTTATGTGGTTAACCGACCGATTAACCTTGAAATCCCAATATTCCAAAACTCATTTGGAATGGATGGATTATTCGGTTTCAGTTTTTAGTTTTTTCCAACATTATTACTTGTGAAGTTGATGGTGACTTTTTAAAAATTAAAATGAGTAAAAATGGGTCATGAGTCGTTAGTATGTGGGCTTGAGTATAGATTTCAACATACACATCCTCTTTACCATTCTACATTTCTACTTATATAGATTCTAGTTATTCAAACTTTTGATATTATAAAATTTTATATAATTTATTTCATATTCTATTCGATTTTACTTTACCATTCTACATTTCTACTTATATAGTATTGCTAACACGTTTGTCTCAATTTTTTTTTTTCCCATCATTGTTTTGTTTCACACAGATTTGATATGATTTTCTAATAGTAACATTGTCTTGGGATTTCGATGTATTTAAAATAATAATTAAAAGCTTGAATATAAAACTGTTCTAATTGTTTTAAATTAAACGATTAATAATTTATGCAGTACAAAAACTGAATTTATATAATAATTATAGCTGTATCAAAAGCAAATGCATATTCAATTATATAGCAACTCTAATACAAAATTATTACCGAAATAAATGGAACATAATCCAGCTACACTACACACTTCAATTATATCTTTCCAAGGACAAAACTTGACCTTTTGTCTCCTTTTGTTTTCCTTCGTCTTGTGCAACAGTTTCACCTTCCACCACCGTTACCGCCACCGCTACCGGAGCCACTACCGGTTCCTTTGCCGGCACCGGCACCCACTCCAACTCCTATTCCGATGCCTATTCCGACTCCGAAACCTCCTCCTCTTCCACCACCACCACCAACACCTGATCCACCACCACCACCTAAACCTCCCCCAGCTCCCAAGCCACCTCCATGACCGGAGCCACCTCCAATGCCACCGCCACCGCCACCACCAGCACCGCCACCCGCACCAACACCTCCGGCTCCACCTACTCCTCCACCAGCTCCAAAGCCGCTTCCATGGCCGGAACCACCTCCAAGACCACCATTACCGCCTCCACCACCACCACCTCCACCTCCACCCCCACCGGCACCAACTCCTCCAGCTCCACCACCAACTCCTCCCCCTGCTCCAAACCCACTTCCATGACCGGATCCACCTCCAACACCGCCGCCGCCTCCACTACCACCACCTCCACCCCCACCAACACCAACTCCTCCAGCTCCACCACCAACTCCTCCCCCTGCTCCGAACCCACTTCCATGACCAGATCCACCTCCAACACCACCGCCGCCTCCACTACCACCACCTCCACCCCCACCGACACCAACTCCTCCAGCTCCACCACCTACTCCTCCTCCAGCTCCAAACCCACCCCCTTGACCGGAACCACCTCCAACACCATCACCTCCACCACCACCGCTGCCTCCTCCTCCTCCTCCACCGGCACCAACACCTCCGGCTCCACCACCTACTCCTCCCCCAGCCCCAAACCCACCACCATGACCAGACCCGCCTCCAACGCCACCTCCTCCACCACCACCAAGTCCTCCTCCACCTCCAGCACCTCCTCCCGCTCCACCACCTCTCCCTCCACCCCCACCAAACCCGCCTCCTCCACCAATCCCCCTCCCACCACGCCCAATTCCTCCACGATCATTACAATCTCTCCTCCGACTAAACCGACAGTCGTCACCCCACCGAGTTGTATCATCATTGCCATCTCCAAGAGCAAATGCACTCAAGTGGAAGACAATGGCAAGCCCTAACAGAATCACACAACCCCATTTTTGAGAGAAACCCATTGATGCCTCTGCTCAAACTTTCCTGAGATTTGTTCTTCTTCCTCCGGCCAAGGATCGATCCATATATATATACAACAATGTGCTGCAACTTGCAACTTAACACTAGAACTCACAACTCACTAGTATACGTAAACTCATTAATGTTGCATGGACATGCGAGGCGTTGAAGTGTTAGTTGGGGAGTTACTATCAAATTTAATATCTGCTTGATTAAGTCAAATAACAAAAGCTGGATAAAGTTCTTTTCACTAATAAAAGGTTTTATTTCATAAAATATCATATATCTAAATATAGTTGAATTTATTTGAGCTATGTATTATTTATAATATATATATATATATATATATATATATATATATATATATATATATATATATATATATATATATAATAAATAACATCAAAAAGTTTCAAAAGAAAGCTAAGTTTTTTCTTTTTGAAATGTATTTTAACTAATCAGAACATTAATTTGGTTTAAAGATAGACGTTTTTGTATCATAATTATTGTACTTATATTCATTTATCAAATGTTAATTAAAAAAAACGGTGTTGTGGTCCCCGAACAACATCTACAATTATTTTTTATTAGAACTCATTTAGACATATATTCATATCAATCCCATTATTTTGTCACATATACCTTATACATGAACACAATTATTATTTTTTTGGGCTAAAATGCAATCTAATGAAATTGATTTTTTTAAAATTTATCCTCATCATTTATTGTTATCAAGATGCATGTATTAAATGATAAAAAACTTCATCTGCCCATAGCCCCATATATTAGTTAAGTTTTGAGGGTTGTTTTAAAAAAGGTTAATTTGAGGGAATTTTCTTTTCTTTTCAAATTTTTATTGAAAACTGCTATTTTTCCAAGATAATGTGACAAATTTCTTTGAGATTTTTTTTACAATTATGATAAGAATTGAAACGATGTCATATTATTTAATTAATCTCACATATATTTTGTAGATATATATGTACATGGTATCATGCTTTAGATTGGGTCAACACCGACACGGGCTCTACCGGAAAGTTCAAAGAGTAGTTCGACCCGTCATCAATGTTGGGACTACACTGTCATGAAGCAATTAAGCTTTACGATTTGCTTCTATGTCTTAAAATCATAGGTATGGTAAAGAATTATCTTCATTTTTTAAGTGTCCCATTAGTTTTTTTTTTCACTCTCCTTTCATTCATTAAAAGATAAGAAAAAATCATCTTTTATAATCTTTAATTTTGTTTAAAATAATATTTACACATATTATATTTGTTTTTGTAGGAAATTAAAAAACATGAATTTTAATATATATATATATATATATATATATATATATATATAATCATACAAAAAGAAAACAGAAAGAGGGAGGAATACCCTCCTCTCACTTGTTTTCCGCACCTTCGGTATTGTGTTCCGAGGTACGGAAACCCTTACCACTCCACTCTTCCCGCTGCACTCCATTGGGTAACGGAGTCTAATAAAATAAGGTTAATGAACTATTATTCATAGATAATTTATAGTAAAAGAAGATAAATAAAGTTCTATTTCGGTTGTTAAAAATGAAATTCAGTGGAATATTTTTAATATAAAAAAAAAAAAACAAATGTAATTAAAAATGAATTACTTTGATAGAAGAAACAAGGTAATTTACATCAAAGATGGTGATAAATTTAAACAAAACCAGCTAATAAGTTATCGAAGAGGAAGTACGGCCTAGTCTGCAATTTATATACCGTATTGAATTGATGATAACATATATGAGTAGATATGGTGTTATTAATATACTATTACCATTATTTTTTTTTTGATATAAATGCTCTGTTTTAATCTCAATAGCAGTGAAGTCAAGAAGTCCCCATGAAAACCACCCGGGCTCCAAACTATTTGGTATTGGAGCCTACTCAAAACAGGAACCGTTCATGAGCCGTTCCCAATTAATGTTATATATAAGGTTTTACGGTTTCATAAAGTTCTTACCGATGGTAAGCTCAGTTGTCTGGTAAACTTGAGTTATGTTTCCATTTTGGCTTTTGATTGGTCCATTGGAAACTTAATTATTATTATTATTATTATTATTATTCTTTTAATTTTTAATTTCATAGGTAAAAAATTTACCACACCTTTACACCTTTATTGTAGGTAAAGATCGTTAAGAAAGAGAAAGACTTACATCATGCTTATGTGGCATATATTTTTGATAGGTAAAAAACTTTACAATATTCTTTAGCTTAATAAGTGAAAATTTATTTTTATTTTAAAATGATTTCTAATAAATTACCATTTATTTATTAATATTTATATTCATCGTATTAAAACGAATTTAATACTTTAAATAAGATAACATGAATAGTAACTCAAATTAAACATAATTTAAAAATAAATTTAAATAATAAAATTAAATCCAAATATTCGTTGAGAGATCTCTACTTTGGGGGAAATTTTGAATTGCATTATGGAAAGATAAAGGTAATTCTCCAACAATAAATATGAAATCTCAAAAGACAGTTTATTTTCTAATTTAATTTATTAGGGCATTTTGTAAACATTAAATAAAAAATAAAAAACAATTATATATACTTGAAAGTTGAAACCGCTATATTTTCTATACATTAAGTGTGTCAAATTAAAATAAACAACAAATAGCACATAATATATGTTATAATAAAGACTTGAAGAAACTCATATATTAAATTCTTAACTGCTAAAAATCTTTTATTTTAAGAAGTTTCTAGTTGAATTCTACAAAATCTATACAAAAATAAAAATAAAATCTATACAAAAATAAAGACAACAAGATTACTGATTTAGAAATAAAAACAATATGTAGATACCATAAGTATAACATAGAAGAATAAACTTCAAACCAAAAATTTTTGAACTCTACAAGAACATATGAAAGATTACAAACCATAACATGTCGATCAAAACCATAACATTGTAGCTCTCTCTCACAATGAAATATCAAAGCATATGACAAACAGAATGATAATCTTTCACTCATTTCCAAATAAAACCATTGTTTGATAATCAAAACCAAACCATTCTAATCAGAGTATAAAATTAACATGCGAAAATCTTAAAAAAAGATGTTGATACGCATGTACAATCATTATTTGCTATTCCCATAATCTTAAAAAAGTACTTAAAATCGTTTAATCAACAACTGTAAGTCAATGCGTAATGAGTTCCTCAATATACCATATACAAAATACACATACACTACATATACATAATAATATTCAACACAAGGTTGGTCCATCCCCTTGGCCTTTAACATAAAGTTGGTATGTCCCTTTGACCTTCAAAATAAAGCCAAACCGTCCCTTTTAACCTTCAGCATGGTGCTGGTCAGCCTGAGTATCTCGACCTTCAGCATAATGTTGGACAACCCTAGCTCACAACATGATATGTCTATATATATATATATATATATATATATATATATATATATATATATATATATCATACAACAACCAAACAATCCAACACAACAAGCAACTCACTGAACCTGTCTACTTTCCTAACAATACTCTATAGCATAACAAAATCCTAACATACAAAGAATATATATTGTAATACATAGTATAGTGAGAAAACTGACTTGAAAAGTTCTCGAACAACTATCAACAGTCCAGTTGGAGAACAGACACGCCAAACAAGTATTAACCTTTAATATTATAGCTGATCAATATCATTGAAATATAGAAGCTGATATCTAGATCATTCGCTAATCCAATAACTAAAAAGATTATCAAATAAGGATTAGCAGTCAAGACAGGCGGGACGCATGATCATTTCAGCATATAACTTTTCTAAAATCTAACAACAGGACAACGTGTCTATCCTAGACACCGCACTCGTAAGCAGATCAATATGTATAATAACTGGGATTAACGATTAATCTAATACACATGTTTATAATAACGAAGATCGGTATAATCCATATCAAATTATACTTAATCGAAAGTCTAACCTACCCAATTAGTGAAATCTACATAACTGCGAGCAAAACTTCGACACTTACTTTCTTATATCCTTCTGAAACCTCCAAAGCTTCACTACTGATACAATAGAACGAGAAGTCAAATCATGATGGAATGAAATGCGCGCGCGCGCGCGAGAGAGAGAGAGAGAGAGAGACAGACAGACAGAGAGAGAGAGATAGAAAGAGAGAGGGAGAGAGAGAGAGAGATTGTTTGAAAGAGAATGGTGTAAGGAAATGAGGAGGGGTAACCCTCTTTTTATAGGCTGATTTTCGATGAAAGTGTTGTGCCTTGTAATCAAGCTTGACATGTTTCTTTTGTTCATGAAACCTCAGTTATCATGTATGTAACCTCAACTATAGATTTCAGGTGCATTCAATGTGGCTCCTCGTGCCCTTTAAAAATGCCTCATACCCTTGATAGGCGCCCCAATGCTTCCAGCATTTTTCGGAACTTCGAAAAATCATAACATTCTCATACAAATTTTGTTTTCGATGTTCTTTATATCCACTCGTTCGTATATATGTCTACTACAACTTTCATGTTGAGCGATTTAACTAAAACCAATATATTTTCAATTTTATGTTTATAAACAAATGCTTATATCTTTATATCGAAAAGTGAAAATTAGGTGTTGCAACTCCCCTCCACTTACAAGGATTTAGTCCCCGAAATCTTATTCCTGGCATATTTAATGATAATTCCCACACACCATCTTATTGGGTTTCTTGAGACCAATCGAAACCTAGCCAATGCTGCCACATCAATTCCATCCATCCGTATTTATCCAATTGCAATATTTCATTTCCACCCCCATAAACTCCTCACGAAGTCCCACAAAATTGGGAACTCGTTGGTCTGAACTTCTAGAATTGATATTTTAAAACTAATGGTTACTTCCTGACACAGATTATCGACTCATTCCTTTGACGAGGTATACCGCCAATCCTACTATGAAGCGAGTACTTACGAAAATTCATTCACAACATCTCAAAGGAATCCACATTCCA